CCTAGGAAAGCAGACCCTCATATCAGGCAGGATGTTCCACGGGCTTAGAGGAAACCTAAGCCCATTCTTTGGAACGTGCAAGGTCTGGACATACCTGCTGAGCATTCAGACCTGCTGGGCCAAACTTTTGATGCACACATACTGTGTGAGTTTGTCAAATTCATCCTCAGCCTTTGTGCAATAGGTGACGACTGTTAAGGAACCAAGCTCACATGAATAAAAACAAATCTCCTCATTCTTTTTTTTTTTTTTTTTTTGAGACAGAGTCTCACTTTGTCACCCAGACTGGAGTGTAGTGGCACAATCTCGGCTCACTGCAACCTCTGCCTCACTGGCTCAAGTGATTCTGATGCCTCAGCCTCCCAAGTAGCTGGGATTACAGGCACCTGCCACCACGCCCAGCTAATTTTTCTGTTTTTTTGTAGAGATGGGGTTTCACCATGTTGGCCAGGCTCATTCTGACCTATCAGAAATGGAGCTACTGGCTGGGCACAGCTCACGCCTGTAATCCCAGCACTTTGGGAGGCCGAGGCGGGTGGATCATGAGGTCAAGAGATCAAGACCATCCTGGTCAACATGGTGAAACCCTGTCTCTACTAAAAATACAAAAAATTAGCTGGGCATGGTGGTGCATGCATATAATCCCAGCTATTCAGGAGGCTGAGGCAGGAGAATTGCCTGAACCCGGGAGGCGGAGGTTGCGGTGAGCCGAGATTGCGCCATTGCACTCCAGCCTGGGTAACAAGAGCGAAACTCTGTCTCAAAAAAAAAAAAGGAAATGGAGCTACTTTCCTTCTCCAGCTGTAGGAGAAAGCTGGCTCAAATGATATTTGTTGTGGCAGATTAATCAACAAGAGCATAAGTTCATTCACAAACTGAATAAACTCAATTTTCTATAATCAACATACTACATAGTCAAATAAACAATAAAAAATTTCTGTAGAAAACATGACATATTGGGAAATTACACAAATTCTTTAAATAATTTATAACAGAAGTTTATGAAAATAAGAAAGCATAAAAATTAAACATACAGAAGACTTTTATCCTTCTTCGATAGACTCTTTGTTTATAGTATTCCTGTGACTTCCAGAAAGAAAACCCTTAACTTTCTTATGTATCGTGGCTGAAGAGGGTAATATCAGAACGAGACTTTGAATTCTTTAAATATATGGCAATAGTATGACAGCAATATTATTTAAGAATTTTTATCATGCATAACTGTAACTTACCCTTTTATAACTAAGGTTAATCAAAACCAAATTAAGTCCTTAATTTCTGATTTCCACAGTGTGGACAACATCAATTTGCAGCTTTGACTAAAACAGTGGAGGTGGAGAAAGGAACATTATTAAGAATCAACGTTACCAAAATGTTACTTTGCAGCTTCATGTGTGTTCACTTGCAGAAGTTACTTTTGAAAATTTATAGCAAAAATCAAATTTGATTCACATGTGCAGGTAGATGAGGAAGGGCTATGGAGGAGATGTGAATTTTATTGTTAGATTTCCTCAACTCACACTTTGGAGTGCACTATGCTTTTCTTAAAAAGGGGAAAGATCTCAGCTCTAAGTGCCCAAATCATTTAATTGAGTCAAATCCAGAAGTGTTTTGTGTTTGTTTTTTTTCCTGAGACAAAGTCTTGCTCTGTCACCCAGGCTGGAGTGCAGTGGCATGATCTCAGCTCACTGCAACGTCCACCTCCCCGGTTCAAGTAATTCTCCTGCCTTAGCCTCCCGAGTAGCTGGGATGACAGCTGTCCGCCACCACATCCAGCTAATTTTTTGTATTTTTAGTAGAGATGGCATTTCACCATGCTGGCCAGGCTGGTCTCAAACTCCTGACCTTGTGATCCGCCCGCCTTGGCCTCCCAAAGTTCTGGAATTACAGGCATGAGCCACGGTTCCTGGCTTTGGTTTGTTGTTTTTTTTTTCAGGGAAAGCATAACCAGGAATTTCATCTCTTCCAGAAACATGAATCAGATAAATTATTAATTGGTCAATTAAAAAAGCCAAAGTGAGGCTTTTCCTTCTGAGCTGCCAGTCCAATAAAAAATTAGAGGTGGAATCTAGGCATTTTGGAGACGTCTAAACCTCTAGATTCACCCACAACACTGCTCACTCTTTCTATATTTTTGAACATCAACTGAAATTAAAATTACCTTTTCTGGTGTGCTGGAAGGAGCTATCAAAGCATTAGTACTGATCTCGACCATTCTCCACAGTGTGTTTTGCTTTTCTTGAGTAATCACAGTAATTATAAACCCAGTACCTATTTACCAAGGCATTAAATCAGAGAGAGACAAAGTAAAAAAACAATGCAGTCATAGAATTTCAAAGCTGAAAGGAGCATAAAGTAAGTCTACTTTAAAGTGAGCGCAATTGCCTAACTTTATAGAAAACCGAGGCCCAGAGAAGTGAGGTGGTCTTGGATGCTCATTCACTCTCATTTGTCCATTTGATGCTTTATTCTTATCTCCCCTATGCTGGGTGCAAAGATAACATGTCGAGACGTACATACAGTCTCCAGTGGCAGAGAGAGCCGAGAAAATCAGCAGCACGCTGGGAGCAGCTGAATCTGGAGACCAGAGCTTTCATTTTCCAGTGGGCACACATTCTGCCAGACCAGGTTTTCTTCTATTTGTGTTACGATAGGAGACACCTAGAACACTTGTTAGGCCCACACACGCCAGCCCTACCCTGGCGCCACTGAATCTGAAAGCATACCAAAGGGAGCTGGGGCTCTACCCGTTTGTTTGTTTGTTTGTTTGTTTGTTTGTTTGTTTTTTAAGATGGAGTCTCAGAATCTCACTCTGTTGCCCAGGCTGGAGTGCAGTGGCACAATCTCAGCTCACTGCACCCTCCACATCCCTGGTTCAAGCGATTCTCCTGCACTCTAGCCTGGGTGACAGAGCGAGACTCCATCTAAAAACTATATTTAAAAAAAAAAGTTTCAAGAAATACGCTGATAGGACTCCAGTTTGCCTTTTGTTTTCTGTCCTGTGCTGAAATAAGGAGTGAGTCTAGAAGAATATAGGAAATCAGCTCTCTCCTTGCAGGTAGATTCCTATGGCACTACTAAAAAAATCTGCATAGCAAGCTTCATGCTAATGGCTTTCGGTTATGCTTGCCTAATGATGCCCAAGCTCTTACAAATTCATTATGAGTCCTCCTTGCATCCCCTTTTTATTACTGTGCTGTTCTTTTTTTAAAAAATCAGTAATGCTTTGGATTCAACATGTAACTAGACAGGAAACTTAAAAGAAACACTTGTAGAAAATTCTCTTCTCAGCAAGGTCAAGATTGTTCCCATAATTGCTTACAATAGCTTTCGTGTTCCTCTCAATTTTATTTTGTTTTCTTGATTGAAATATAGGAAGGGGTCGTATTTTGGGATTCTTGGATTAGTTACAACTAAGACATTACATCAAGGGTACTGTTACTTCATTGCACATTAACTGGGTATTTTGTGTTTCTCAAGTGTATCTTACGGAGTACTGAAAATACTTCTTTTGTGGAATAAGAAAATCGAGAGCATTTGGATACTTAAGTAGCAGTTAATGACGCCCTCATTTAGTATTTAGTATCTTCAGAGTGGCTTAATTTAGCAGCTTTAATTTTTTTAGACCATTTCCTGAACTCATCTTCTCTTTTTCACCATTTGTACCAGACTCTTAGTGACTCCACCTAGACAGGGGACTCCCCCTAGCATATGGGAAATACACCCCAGTCCAGCCTCTGGGCCTTTGTCTCCCCTATAATCTCAGGTGTTACTACCTGAATGTGTGTTCCAGTAGCTGAGCCCACATCCCTTTAATCTTCGTCTGTTTTTAATGAATGGCTATCAAAACACATATTCAGTACATGCTTTGAGCCATATGAAATACACGATCAAAATGCAATATTCATTGCCAAAAGAAAAAGGTTTAGTGTAATGCATCCATACAAATAGCGACAGCATTCCCTGTTTTATCTCTTTCCAGCACAGGCATGACTTTATTGTGAAATCCAGGTGCAGTCCTGAAGGCGCTCTATCTTTGCTTACTCCAGAAAGGCAGTTTGTTAACTAAAGCCCAAGAATGGAGTGCATTTCTCTATTAACCATTTATTAAGTCAACAAGCTAAGTAATGACTACATTTTCCTTTCGAATGTGCCTGCAGTATTATGCATTTAGCAATATTATTTCTTGAACAGATGTGTCTTTTCACTGTCTTCTTCCTTTCCTACGAACATAGGATTTCTTCTTAATTGTATGCTTGTAAGCTGCAACTGCCTCGAAAGGTGCTTCTGAGCACACACTGAGATCCCTCCGTACTGAGAGCCGAGTGCCATGAAAACCACATCATCATCAAGAATGGGGGCATCCAGCTCCCCACATCAAGCACCCAATTAGCTCGTATTCTTTGGCTAAATATACTCCACAGCCAATCCAGTCACCCTCAGTGCTTTGATTTCAGAAGCTTTACAATTACCTAGTTACTTGAATGTGGCGCTATTCAAAATACAAAAGATAAGGAAGAAGCATTTCACAACCAGTTCGCAAACTATATGATTTGACAGCAAAGACATTGAAGGTTATATCAAATTCCTTCCACGTTCAAGTTTTGAATAACTAAGCACGTTAACCAGTTTTGTGCTCAGCACTTCCCTTTATCAGTAAAAAGGAGTATTCACAAAGAATCAATATCTAAAGCACGTTGGGCAACTACTACACTTTTATGATTTCCTCAGTGCTGTGTTAACAAAGAAAACCTTGCTACTATACTTTTGAAAGACACCAGTGGAAGCTGACAACCAAATTGGTATCATTTTTTTATAAAAAGTATAATGAGCTCGTGGGTCACCTTCAAAATGTGGTCACATTCTTTCCCTGGAGTAGAGTTACTCTGGGATCAAGTGACTGAAAAGGCTAGAAGAGGAAATAAAATGATTGCTCAGCAGGACAAGTGTGGTGCTGCTGTCCTCGCCTGCGTCTCTGCCCACAGCAAGGTCATGGAAATTCAGCGTGAGCCCAAGTGGTTCTTCAGCAGCAGACATTCATGGGCATGATCCTGGCACTCGCTGGTGTTTGTCTGACAGCTGTGTGTGCTTCGGCCGAAGCTGCAGTAAGTGACCTACCAGGTTCCGCGGAGGAAGCCTGGCCCTGCCATTCCCCATTGAGTCAGGAGGTCAAGTGAGAATTCCACTGATGTCTTTAAATAGTCTTGGCTGCAACAAGCTAACGTAGGGGAGGATTTTGGAGTGTGCCTGTGTGCGCCTGGCAGGGATAGGCAGGTCTTCAGTTGCTGCTGGAGGGGGAATTTGGAGGAGACTTCCTTAGCTGCCTCTAAGTGACACTGGTAAGGTCTGCGTGCAATGGTTCAACATATAACCTCATGCACAAATGTACTAATGGAACTATGGTATCTGGGATAACAGCAAAAATTGGCTTCTTTCTTTTACGGGTGGGAAAATTGACTTTGGGGTCTGTTGGGAAAAATCACTTGCCCTTTGAATAAGCTATACGGACCCCCTTTGATCAGCTTTTAGAAAAAGCAAGTATTTTTCACAGTGAAATTGCCTAACCTGAGAATGAGCTAGACACTGCCTCAACACGTTGCTGCTCTTTCCAAATCAGGCGAGTGGAGAGGGGGAGGAATTAGGGTTTGACGGCTGCAGGAAATGAAGTGTTTGACTGATTTATCCCAGCTGTGTTCTTTGCTTACTGTTCTCTGGTTACTGAGACTTTGGAGCTCAGTCTAGCCTACGCTCTACAGTGTGTTATTCTTCCCTCAGTCCATTGTTTGTATCTTTCTTGAGGAGGAATCACATCTTGCTGCAATTGTTGGAACTCACGTGGGTCTGTCTCCTTCTCCAACCTGTGAGCTCCGTGGTAGGAGGGGCAGGTGCTATTTTTCTCAGGTTTCCCACCTTTTCCAGTGTCCAGACTGGAAAAGGTGCTAATAAATATGTTTGATTGAATTAAACTAAGAATACCGAGAAGTCTTACAAGTCTTGGCAGCAACCCCAAATGCTAAGTCTCATTGTAGTTTGTTATAATTTTGTAGACAAATGTGCCAAGAAAACAGAGCAATTGGCTTTTCATTGACCTAAAGGTACTTGGTTTTCTTCAGTGTCATCTTTCCATTCTGACTTTTTAGCTTTAAAGAATCAATATGAATGTCGTGTGGCTCTTGGCTGCTGCTATAGCAGTAAGGTCCAGTGACCTTTGGTGCAGGAACTCTGTCACTGCTTGCCCTGGTGTCTGTGTTTCACTAACAGCTGTGTACGCTTGAAATAAAAAACAAGCTTCATGTTTTTAGAGAGGCTTTTTTCCAAGGAGCTTTTAAATGTCACTAAACTCATTTTTTTTAACGTCAATATGGGAAAGTCAATATTATTCTCCTCCAAACTGTAAAAGGGTAATTGCTTTTTTGCATGACTTGTGTATGTCTTTCCCTTTTTTTTTTTTTTTTTTTTGAGACAGAGTCTCACTCCATCACCCAGGCTGGAGTACAGTGGCATGATCTTGGCTCACTGCAACCTCCACCTCCCTGGTTCAAACAATTCCCCTGCCTCAGCCTCCCAAGTAGCTGGGATTACAGGTGCATGCCACCATGCCCAGCTAATATTTTTTTGCATTTCTAGTAGAGATAGGATTTCACCATGTTGGTCAGGGTGGTCTTGAACTTCTGACCTTGTGATCCACCCACCTCGGCCTTCCAAAGTGCTGGGATTACAAACGTGAGCCACTGCACCGTCTTTCCCTTCTTTCCTGTCTTTTGGTCATTGTTGGCCAAATTATCCCATTTAGTAGCTTATCTTTGAGAGGGCAAATGTAGTCATGGAGAAGTGAAATCAGAATGAGATCATCTGTTAAGAGCCTAGTGTCTAGCAAAAAAGTTCAAGGACGTGACAATGAGTGAGAGAGGACTGGGAAGGACGGTTGAAATATACATTACGGCCAGGTGTGGTGACTCATGCCTGTAATCCCAGCACTTTGGGAGGCCAAGGTGGGCGGATCACAAGGTCAGGAGTTCGAGACCAGCCTGGCCAATATAGTGAAACTCCGTCTCTACTAAAAATACAGAAATTAGCTGGGTGTGGTGGCAGGTGCCTGTAGTCCCAGCTACTTGGGAGGCTGAGGCAGGAGAATCACTTGAACCGGGGAGGTGGAGGTTGCAGTGAGCTGAGATTGTACCACTGCACTCCAACCTGGGCAACAGAGTGAGACTCTGTCTCCAAAAAAAAAAAAAAAAAAAAAAAAAGAGAGAGAGAGAAAGAAAGGAATACACATTAATATCAGTTCATATTTATTATCTGAAAGCCATCATGCTACCCATTACTTACCACCAGACATAAGCATGAGAGGCTTGATTATTCCTCTACAGCCGCATGAAAGAAAAACTTCCTATGATTGTCCCCCAGAACTCAAGGGGAGAGCTCTGCCTCTTTTGGTCACTGGGGACAGAGCCCACTGTGATTTGCCTTTTGGTCCCAGGTCCCTTCATAGAGGCTGACAGAGGAACATGTCTTGCCGTTGCCACCTGGCCACAGGTTGCTGATTCAATGGTAGAAACCATCTGAAACCAGGTTTCAACACCTCATACTGTACTTAGCACACAGTACTTAGCAAATATTTGCCTTTTGAGTTACATTGAATTCAGACCTGTTAGGCGTCCACTCTCCCAAGGGCTGAATCTCACTGCTCCTCAGAAGAATCAGAACTATTAGTTCTCTTTGGAGAAAACCAACCCCCTGTTTCAATTTATGTTTAGGATGAGATGAACATGATATTCCAGAGGTTATTAAGAATATACAGAGTTAAAAGTAAACACCTCCTTAATGTGGATGTTCAACAATGATTTAGCGAAGTTAACAAAAGCATTGGCAGACAGAGTGACAGTAGACATTGAGATGAGAGAACTACCCTGGCTGGCAGAGTCCAGGTGAGCTGCCTCCCATTCAGGTCTCCAGGACCCAGGTCAGGTGTGTTTTTTGTCCTTTAGGTAGCTGAAGAGCATCTCCAGGCCCCCTTCCACCAGCTCTGGCAGAGGCTTGGATAAAGGGTTGTGGGAAATGTGGAGCCCTTTGTCCATGGGATTCCAGGCGATCCTCACCAGTCTACACAGCAGGTGGAGTTCGCTCGGGAGGGTCTGGATGTCGTTGTTATTGAGGTTCAGCAGCTCCAGGCTGGTGACCAGGCAGAGCGACCTCGGGAAGGAGTGGATGTTATTGCCCTCTGCGATGAAGATCTGCAGGCTGGCCAGGTGCTGGATGCTCTCAGCGATGTTTTCCAGGCGATTCGAGCCCACGTGCAAGAAGATCAGTTCCTTCAGTGAGAACACACACATGGGGATGTGCACAAAGGAGTTGTTGCTGAGGTTCAGCTTCCTCAGTCTGGAGAGGTCAGCGAAGCCTGCAGGGAGCTGGGACAGGCAGTTGTGCGACAAGCTCAGGACCTCCAGGTTTCGGCACAAGCTCAGCTCGGCTGGCACCTCGGTCAGGCAGTTCATGTTGACAAACAGGACCCTGAGGTTCTGCAGGAGGCTCACCTCTCTGGGAAGGCTCTTCAGGCGGTTCCCGCACAGGTTCAGGACCACGATCCGGGTCAGTTTCCCCACCTCGGGAGGGAGAACCCGGAGCTGGTTGTGAGACAGATTGAGTTTCTGGACCTCGGACAAGCCCCAGAGAAAGTCAGGGATGTCTGCCATTCCTCTGGTGACCAGGCTGAAACTTACATGGTGCATGCCACGCTTCAGCAGAGACCGTGGGTCCCTCCCCGAGAGCAGGGCATCGTCCCACGGAGAAAACTTCTGTCTCCTTCCAGTGAACAGTACCCGCTTGGGGCCCTTATCCTTGGAGCTGGCTCTTGACTGCCTGGCCCCCATTGTGCCTTCCCTTCTAGTCACCCTCCTCTGCCACCTCCTAGGCAGGGACTGTGTCGTCTCAGCTGCTAAAAGCCAGGCTGCTGCAGGCAGAGAGCATGTGTCAGGGTAAGAACCAACTTGTGGCGGGGAGGTCCCAGCGTGGAGAAATCTGCCACGAGAGTCTTGATCAGGCCTTGCAGGTGTCCGAGACAGGTCCCTGGGCAGCTGCAGGAGCTGTGCTTGTCCCCCACGGTTTAGGTGTTTTCTCTCTGAGCAGCTGAGCTGTAATGATATACTTGTCCTGGAGGCAGCTAAACTGCTCGATTCCCTCTGAATGCTACAAGGCAGCTGTCACTGTCACTCTGCCTGGGTTTTATTGACCAAGTACGTGCAAACAGGTCACAGGAAGGCTGCATATAACTTTACTCTCTCAGCTTTTCTTGGGTATCACAGTTGAGCAGGGTGATTAACAAGCCCATCTCTAAAAAGAAGTAAAGTGGAAAAACAGAGCAGGCCACACCAGCACCAGCTGTCGGCAGGATTGCGGGAGCTCAGCCAGGCAACTTTACAGTGAAACAGGGCTCGGTGCTAGTGACTGTTATGTCTTTAAAGCTAAAGATCGTCAGATGATATCATAGGTGCCCTTTCCAAACCTTGATGAACTGTGTGTTTGTGAAAAGGTAACAAAAGCAGCCCGGATACCTCGAATCTTCCAGGTCAAAGCTGTTCAATCCTGTGCTTGTCAGAGGTGGTTTAGTGAGAAGGGAGTTGTGGGAGAATCTCAACCCTTCACTCCCATTTCAGCCAGAGAAGCTCTGGATTCATCTGTCTTACAGAGACCTTTTCTGCATTTAGTAGGGTGCACTTTAAGTGTGCACTTTAAAAGCACCGACCACCCATTGTCCTGGACGGATATAATGAGGCCCCCTTTGCTATGCACCATTCTCTCTCTCTCTTTCTTGTCTACCCTGTCTTTTCCTTGTATTAAAAAAAGTTAACTTAGACCTTCAGTTTGCAGAGTTAATTGTTTGTGTTATAGGCTGAACTTTGTCCCCTCACCCCACCCTCAAATTTCACATGCTGAAATAACTCCCAGTATCTCAGAAGGCAGCTGGGTTTGGCAATCGGGACAAGTGAAGACACAGGGAGAAGGCAGCTACCTGTAAGCCGAGGAGAGAGGCCTCAGAAGAAACCAATACCTTGGTCTCAGACTTCCAGTCTCCGGAATTGTGAGAAAAATAAATTTCTGTTGTTTAAGCCACCCAGTCTATTATGATTGGAAAGGACGCAGACATACATCTGCATAGGTGAAAAATACGAAAAATAAACTCATTGGCTGGGCACAGCAGCTCATGCTTGTAATCCTAGCACTTGGGAAGGCCGAGGGTGGATTACAAGGCCAGGAGATCGACACTATCCTGGCCAACATGGTGGAACCCTGCTGGGAGTGGTGGCACATGCCTGTAATCCCAGCTGCTCAGGAGACTAAGGCAGGAGAATTGCTTGAACCAGGGAGTCAGAGGTTGCAATGAGCCGAGATTGCGCCACTGCACTCCAGCCCAGTGACAGTTACTTTGTCTCAAAAAAAAAGTAGTGATTAAGAGGACAAGAGATATCAAGGTGCTGACCTAGGTTCTAAGCAAAAGGCTTGTGGTCTGTGGCAAGGGCTGGTTTGGCCTGAAAGGATGGGGTTTGTGCAGCTATGTGTCCTGGAGACCCATGCTGCTCCTTGGACCCTGACCTCACGGGGCTGTTGTCACGAACCCAACAGCTGTCACTAGGTCCTAACTGGGTGCTGCCTGGGGAGCCTGGAAGTCCATCCACACCCAGGGTGCAGCATCTGGGCAGGAGGAGAAGCAGAGGTAAAAACAAGGGGAGGCCACTTCTCTCGATACATAGCATCTGAGAGAGATCTGACCCCTTTGACTGAGTCAGCTCCAGGGATTCTGGACAAAGGTGGATGCACATGCTTTTCAAGGGGCACCTGAGTGCTCTAATTATCAGTTGTGGTGGGTGGCAGGGGAGCAACGTGGCTAAATTTAGACCCTAAGTTTTTGGAACAGACCATGACTTATATATGTAAATTTCATATCGTTCTGCTGTTAAAAAAAAAATCTAGTTATGCTTCCTCTTTCCTTCCTTGAGCATGAGAAATTATGCTAGAGTACTTGGAATGTGGGGAATTGGAGGACCTGGGATGGTTTGAGAAAAATATCAACAACTTTCTTCTTGTGGCAACTCTCTCTCTTCCCCCTTAATACATTTTGTCTAATAAATATTTTTAAGCACTTATCAATGGCCAATATTCATCAGATGTTTACTTATGTGAAAATCACTGCACCCCTCACTTTATATGCAGAACAGGTATTAAAATTATCTCCATGTTACAGATGAGGAAAAGAAGATAGACAAAGGTAAAATTACTTACACAAAAATCAACTCACTTACCTGAGATCAAGTAACTAGTCAATGGTAGAACCAGGATTCGATCTCAGGATTCAATCCCAGTTGGTCTGCACACACCTCCTGTGGCTGGGAACCACAGGAAGATGCTGGTCTTACCTCTGTAGAGAAGCAAAGCAACACTGGCTAGGACATGGCCCCTTGTTTTCAAGTGCCAGGGTGTATGACTCCATTACTGCATGCATAGAAATAATTACACAGGGCTGGGCGAGGTGACTCACACTTGTAATCCTAAGACTTTGGGAAGCTGAGGTGGGCAGATCATGAGGTCAGGAGATTGAGACCATCCTGGCTAACACGGTGAAATCCCGTCTCTACTAAAAACACAAAAAATTAGCTGGGCGTGGTGGCACATGCCTGTAACCCCAGCTACTCAGGACACTGAGGCAGGAGAATCACTTGAACCCAGGAGGTGGAGGTTACAGTGAGCCGAGATGGTATCACTGCACTCTAGCCTGAACAATAGAGCAAGACTCTGTCAAAAGAAAAGAAAAGAAAGAGAACTACACAGCTAGATACTAACCCTGCTTACTCTATGCTAGCAGAATCAGGAAAAGCAAAAGTTAAAGTATCCCTCCAGAAAACTTCGGAGTGAGGGGTTTATCTCCTCCAAAAACAGTTCAGGTCATTTCCAGAGAGTTTCTCATATATCAAATGGATGAGCTGTGTCACTAGCTGACTTGGTTTCTTCTAATTTTTTGAAATGTAAATGCTGCTCACTCAGGGACTCTCAGTTATCCAGTCATAGTTCTCTGAGAGGACATTCCTTGTCTCTGGTCTCAGTTTTCTCCTCTAAGAAATGGGCCATTTGGAAGGGATAATGGCCGAGAGCCCCTTCCCGCTCTTCCAGTCTGATTCTCACTATAGATGATGCCACTTGTGAGAAACTGAAAGCTACATTTAACCCCCTTTCTGGTGAAAGTATGCAAAATCCAAGACAGCCTTCATTTTTGTAACTTTAATGTTTGTCCTGGGGATAAACAGTAACAAGGGAATGTTGGCTTTTGGGTTCTCTATACTTTATAGACCACATGTTCAACTTTTACCAAAAGACTTTCGGGGCTCTCTGAATGGAATGTGGCTGGAAATAACTCCCAGAACATCGCTGGACAAGTTTTTGAAATTCCAGGGCACTGTAAGTAATGTGATTATCTTTAAAACCTGAGGAGCCGGTAGAGTAACTGAAACGCATCTAATATGCCTGACGTGTTTACTGCATGGCTGTATATTCCAATTGATCGTTCCAACAAATGAAAATCAATATGGATTATTTCTTTAAACCTAGGTAATGTAAAACTGAAATAATGAGAGTGTAAAAATAGTAAGTTATGAAAATATCTGAGGCTACTTCTGAATTCACACTAATGGAATATCTATGGAAAACAGTATGTTTTATTCTATGACTTTTCAGCTTATGTCTGTACATCATATCTGTTAATCTCAGAAGAAAGAAATGTGTACCTCTAAATAGTTTATTAAAATAAACTTTTTACTGTTTAAAAATTTTTAAGTAGGCCAGTTGCATTGGCTCACGCCTGTAATCACTTTGGGAAGCTGAGGCAGATAGGAGTTCAAGACCAACCGGGGCAACGTGGTGAAACCCCATTTCTACAAGAAATATACAAATTAGCTAGGCATGTTGGCACATACCTGTAGTCCCAGCTACTCGGGAGGCTGAGGTGGGAGGAACATTTGAGCCCTGGAGGGTGAGGCTGCAGTAAGCCATGATCACACCACTGCACTCTAGCCCAGGCAACAGAGCGAGATACTATCTCAAAAATTAATTAATTAATTAATTAAAATAGAAAATACAGCAGAGTATATGAAGAGACAACCCAGTTAACATTTGGCATACATAAAACAAGATCTTTTTTCTTTTTTTTTTTTTTTTTGAGACGGAGTTTTGCTCTTGTTACCCAGGCTGGAGTGCAATGGTGCTATCTTGGCTCACCGCAACCTCCGCCTCCTGGGTTCAGGCAACTCTCCTGCCTCAGCCTCCTGAGTAGCTGGGATTACAGGCATGCGACACCATGCCCAGCTAATTTTTTGTATTTTTAGTAGAGGTAGGGTTTCACCATGTTGACCAGGATGGTCTCGATCTCTTGACCTCGTGATCCACCTGCCTCGGCCTCCCAAAGTGCTGGGATTACAGGCTTGAGCCACTGCACCCGGCCCGCAAGATTTTTTTCTATATATATTGGCTTCTGTTTTCCTTTCCCCCCCAAAATTTTTTTTCTAAAATCTGCCTTAGCCTACATTTCCTCAAAAGCAGAGCTGAGGCAAAAGCTTATGGGGCTAATATTTCATTAAGGAGCACAGTCATGGGTAAGCAAGCACAAGGGAGACATGGGGAGGAGCATCATCAGGAGGGGTAGCAAACGTAAGTGATGTGCTCTGAGCTGCCACATCTTTGTATCAAACACAGCCTGTTGCTAGGTTTTGCAGACATACTCAGAGGCTAAATTAAACCATTGTAGCTCAGAATGGTCCGTGGTTAAGCATCTATGAAATGCATACAATGGTAAAACCTAAAGCACATTTTAAAAATCCCTAAATCATAGTTATTGATGACATATTGCCCATAGTATAGTACTAGGACAGGGTAAGAACTCAACCAATGATAGTTATTCTAAAAATGATAGCCTTTATACACATACACACACACATGCCCCTGGAGTCATTCAGAGAACATTTTTCACGTGTTTGATTTTTATTTTTTCCTTCTTTATGAACTTTACTTTTTTTTTTTTTTTTTGAGACAGAGTCTCCCTCTGTCGCCAGGCACCAGGCTGGAGTGCAGTGGCATGAGCTCGGCTTGCTGCAACCTCCACCTCCCGGGTTCAAGCAATGCTCCTGCCTCAGCCTCCCAAGTAGCTGGGACTATAGGCATGCGCTACCATGCCCAGCTATTTTTTTTTTTTAAGTATAAACGGGATTTTACCATGTTGGCCAGGATGGTCTCGATCTCTTGACCTCATGATCCACCTGCCTCGGCCTCCCAAAGTGCTGGGATTATAGGCGTGAGCCACCACGCCCAGCCTATACTTTCTTTAAGTCCAATCAAACCTGTAAGTCTGAAGCATCTCTCATTTATCTCACATTCATCTTTCATTTTAGTGCTAGGAAACTGAGACACTTTCTATCTGACACAATTCTGAGATACATTCTATCTGACACAAATAATACTTGGGAGACTGATTATTAACCTCATGTTAACTATGAGGAAGTTGAGCCTCACTGAAGTTAAATGACTCTCTAGGTTGCAAAGTCAATTACTACCAGCATCAGAATCAACTCTCAGGTCTTCTGATTCTGACTCCGGTTCTCTTTCTACTACATGGAAACCTGACTTCCTCTGCACAGTTTTTCTTAGTAAGGTGGCTGATTATTTTTCCAATTGGAGCATGCCACAGCCTTCTGGCACAGTCATTGCAGAGAAAGGCAGCATAATCTAGTGGCTAATGTCATAAGCTCTGTTTGTCTGACCATCTTGGGTTTCAATCCTGGAAATTTTAGTCAAAGGCTGGGTGACCTTGGGCAAGCTACTTAGTTTGTCTGTGCTGTTTCCTCATACATAAAGTGGAGATAATATTACTACCCATCATATAAGGTTTCTGTGGGAATTACATGACTCTGTACAGAAAACACATAGAGCATGGCTTCATACACAGCAAGGATACCTGAAGATCCCAAGGAAGATGTCAATTCCACAGCCACCTCTGAGTGCTCAAGGGCTGAGCACCTTCACCAGCAGGGCAAGCCTGGTCCCTTTCCTCTCCTATAAACTTCCTCTTAACCACACTACACCTCAATCAGCTATTCCCAGGGGCAAACATGCTTCTCTAGAGTGTAAGACGCAAGTTCTAGAGGCAAGTTCTTAGAGAGATTGGAATCAAAATAACGTCTCTCTGAAAGTCAAGATCCTCTTCGGAAATCATTTGTCCTCAGTTTGTTTACTATCTCACTCTTTTCATTCAGCTCACATTTGCTGCCAGCCCGATTCTATTTCAAATCCCTTGTCTCCCTCAGAGCCCCGGAATCATCCCAAGGACACAGTAGGCACTCAATAAATGCTCATTGAAATGAACAAACATTTGGGCCCTGATGGAAATTTCGTGTGAGAAAAGAATAATACAGAGGGCATTGAATATCCCGCTTGTTTTATTGCTTCTCTGCTACTCTATTTGGATATGTGCTTGCTTATAAGTCCCTCCAGTGCTGGCTGACCACAGGATCCCTGATTTGAACTCCATCACAGCAGCTCACTGAACAAAAGCTTTGTCAGATAAGCCAAGGCTCTTTCATCTTTAAGAGGAGACCTCAGCACCTCCTCAGGGAAGCTGCTCGGCCCTGCTACATCCTCCTCTGTAAATGGGGATAACTGTGCCTCCTTCACACAGGCCTGTTGTGAGGATTAAATGGAATGACACAGGTAAAGCAGGTAGCTCAGCACAAAATGGTCCTGCTGCCATGCTACCAGCACAGTACTCCATCCTTCCCATTGTGGCCAGAATGTTCTAGAAGACTGTTCCTATCAACCCACTGCTTGTGGGCCCTCCACTGACACACATGTGCTCACAGACAGTCCATGCAAGCTATAGTTACACACATGTCTGCACCACAGCCTCATGCCTCAGCGTTTACCTCTAACACTCGTACTTGATAACCCGGGCTGGCTCCCTACACGCTCCTTGGTATTTCAGAATGCACTCCTTTGCTCATGCTGATCCTTTGCTCCACATGGCTCATACCATTTATGTTTCCACATAACAGTGCTCCCTCCTCCAGGAAGCCTTCCTTGACCACCCACCTTCCTCCAGGGCTATCTGGGCATCCTTCCTTACTTCCCAGAGCATCCTGGACTTACCTTTGTCACAACACTACAACCCCAGATCTCAACTAAGCCAATTTTGCCCCTCATGGGATGTTTGACAATATCTGGAGATATGTTTCATCATCAACTGTGGAGGTGGTACCACCAATATCTAGTGAGTAGAGGCCAGTGATGCTGCAAACCTCTTACAGAGCTCAGGACAGCCTCCACAACAACCATTCAGTCTATGATCTCAGTTGTACAGGGCTTGAGAAACCCTACCATATGCAGAGTGCGGTGGCTTACATCTGTAATCCCAGCACTTTGGGAGGCAGAAGTGGGCAGGTTACCTAAGGTCAGGAGTTCGAGACCAGCCTCATCAACATGGTAAAAGCCTGCCTCTACTAAAAATACAAAATTAGCTGGGCATGGTGGCACATGCCTGTAATCCCAGCTACTCAGGAGGCTGAGGCATGAGAATTGCTTGAGAGAACCCAGGAGGCAGAGGTTACAGTGAGCCAAGATTGTACCATTGTACTCTCACCTGGGCAACAAGAGTGAAACTCTGTCTCAAAAAAAAGAAAGAAAGAAAGAAAGAAACCCTATTATATAGAAATCATCAGCTTTTGTGCCAGTCTCCTCCATTAGACTATAAATACATGTCTTAGGGCTAGAGCTAAATCTTATTCATTATTTGTTCTCCTTGAGCCTCGGACGTTGCCTCATGTGTGGTACCTATTCAATAAGCCTGGTTTCTTCTCACTGTATCCTCTTATTTGTGAATCAAACCTCTCTATTTTGAGAGGCTTACTGACTCTGTCTTATTATGTGACCCATATAACCAGAAACATAAATAAAATTGCCTTGCTTGTCAACTGGTATCAGACTTCTATTTATCCAGAATTACACAACTGATATTATTCATTCAGGAAGAAAGAACTTACAAGCAAGGCCATTTCATCTCTTTGAAATCTGAATAGCTCTAGCCTGTCACCTAACAAGATAAAGAAATTATAGGACTGGTGCAACTCCAAGAAAGCATTAAGTCTACTTTTGCTGGCCAGCTACAATTTTATTAAATCATCTCAACAAATTCAAATGTCCCTTTTAGAAAAGTTGCTTCTAGAGAGACAGCCATTTTATTATTTTGCATATTTTCCTCTCGGGAAATTTGCCGGGCTAACCCTAGTCCTTTTGCTGGGCTAACCCTAGTCCTTCAGGTATCATTTTTCCTTTCATCTTCCTGTTTGTCTTCAATGGAGCTGGGTAACCAGTTCAGGCTTTTACAGTCCTGTTCATTCGGTCCTGATCCATCAAAGTAC